TTGCACACACATAAATGCCCCTCCTTCTTTCAAGTGAAGCTTTAGCTGTCGTGAACTTTCATTAAAAAAAACGTGGAGGGCTTCGATTAGGCCAGAGTATACTTGTTTACTTCTGTTGGCACTTTCCAAGTGGTTGAGCGAACACGTCAAGTCTGATTTGAGCAGGTTCAGCCACAGCTTCGAAAGCGCGGTGCACGATTTTTGGCTGTTGTTTGAAAGGCGGAAGGAGTGTCGAGTAGTGGTGACAGCCAGGACTGCATCTGTTCAAACAATCAGTCTCCGAAAACACCACACAAAAGTGGAAAAGAACTCTGGGTTTTACCTTCTTGCTTTTTCATATTCTACCTTAGACCGTGTAGCTGTATAGTGCTGTAACAATCGGATTTGGCGGTTCGAACAGATTATCCACCAAGGGTGTTCCCCCACGATTGATCCGCGTCGAAAACTAGCGAAAGAAGTGTGTCCAGGAACGCAGAAAGAGGAGTTTCAGGGTATGGAGTGGATAACGGCCAGCTATTTAAACCCATTGTGTATCTCGATGCCGGGTCTTGGACCTGAGTCAAACTCATCTAGGAAGAAGGCAGCCGATTAGCCTATTATCACATTTCTCCGGGTTAGGTCAAGCCTGTGGCCGAGAAGAAGTCAGTCGGACGCTCCATGGACTGTAAGACTATATGGACTATAAGGAAGATTTTTCTCTACTTTTTCTCCTTATTTGAGGGGAGGGGGAGATTAAAACAATATTCGCCTCGACATGTTTGTCGTCTAACTTGGCAGGATAATTGCCAACCAGGTATGAACATTGGAAACGGAAAGGTCAGGACGATACTCGCAATGTTCTACGTGATGGATGGGCCCGCGGTGACGACCACCTCGTTTAAAGATTCCAAAAGGAAAAAGAGAAAAAAAACAACCAAGGACGGACAAACTTCCCCCTGAAGAAAATGTATCAATCCGAACTCTCCTTAAAAATAATTGTGAGAGAAAATTGCAAACGGAGAGACTGTGTGATTGATGACGTTTAATCTGAGGCGTGTATTTCCATCCAGGGTCTCCCAACTGGTGTCAGAGAGAATCCTTGTGATCTCTAAAAATGTAAAGTGATAAATTGTTTTCAGGACATTACTAAGAACGAGTCGTAAGCATGCTAACTCCTCTCACTCTTTCTCGTTCTATGTATCTTTCTATCTGGCACTGTCCCACCTTTCCTATCTAACACTCTCTCTTTATAATAAAAATTATTATTACGTAATAAATATATATGAAACAATCCTCGTCGGTTTTGAAAATTCTAGACATAACCTTTGAACGATAAAATAACCCGATTCAACCAAACGCTTCCTTTAATCAGTCTCAATTATAAACGATCGGATTCACCTAACAGAACATATGAACGACTTGGACCTACGAAGATCAGATTCGAACCTAGTACCTTTAAACGACTCTGACCTATGAACGATCCAATTCAGCACCCAGGACCTTTAAAAGACCTGGACTAATATACGGTCTAATTAGAAGTTCAGGACATTCCATGGTTTTGTGTTGTGAGAACCCTTAAACGACTCTGACCTACGAACGATCCGAATACCCAAAACCCTTAAACGACGACCCTTGAACGTTCCGATTCAACATACAGAACCCTTAAACGATTCTGACCTACGAACGATCCGATTCAACATACACAACCATTAAACGATTCTGACCTATCAACGATCCAATTACATACCCAGAAACCTTAGACGACTCTGACCTACGAACGATCCGATTCAGTACACAGGAACATTTAACGACCTAGACCAATGTACGATCTAATTCAACGACTGTTAACCTTCCTGGATCTTTGTACATATCGATTCACCGGTGAGAACCCTTAAACGAGTCTGACCTACGAACGATCCGTTACAGCACACAAAACACTTAAACGACTCTGACCTACAAATCTATCCGTTACAGCACCCAGAACCCTAAAATGACCCTGACCTATGAACTGTCAGATTCAGTATACAGATCTGTTAAACGACCTGGACTTACGAACAATCCGATTCAGCATACAGAACCCTTAAACGACTCTGACCTATATCTATCCGTTACAGCGCCCATAAACCTTAAACGACTCTGACCTATGACCTATCTGTTACAGTACCCAGAACCCTTACACGACTCTAACCTACAAATCTATCCGTTACAGCACCCAGAACGCTAAAATGACTCTGACCTATAAATCTATCCGTTAGAGCACCCAGAACCCTAAAATGACTCTGATCTATGAACTATCAGACTCAGTATACAGATCTGTTAAACAACCTGGACTTACGAACGATCCAATTCAGCTACCAGAACATTTAAATATCTCTGACGTATGAACTATCCGATACAGCGCCCAGAACCCTTAAACGTCTCTGACCTATAAATCTATCCGTTACAACACCCAGAAACCAACAATGACTTTTACCTATGAACTATCAGATTCAGTATATAGATTTTTTAAACGACCTGGACTTACGAACGATCCAATTCAGCTACCAGAACCTTTAAACATCTCTGACGTATGAACTATCCAATACAGCGCCCAGAACCCTTAAACGACTATGACCTATGATCTATTCGTTACAGTACCCAGAGCCTTTAAACGACTCTGACCAATGAACGATCCGATTCAGCACACAGGACCTTTAAACGACCTGGACCAATGTTAGATCTAATTCAACGTTGAGGACTGTTAAACATTCTGGTACTTTGTACATATCGATTCAAGGGTGAGAACCCTTAAACGACTCTGACCTATGAACGATCCAATTCAGTAAAAAGAACTAGTCCGATTCTCATATATCTTCCATCGTCAAGAAGACCAATCTCTGCACAGACAAAAAATGTTTCTCAGTCATTGCTCAGTAACTCACACTCTTTCTTTCTTGGCTCGAACAGATCCTATTCAGATCCTATTCAGATCCTATTCAGATCCATTTATTTACAGGATCTGTATCTTCTTTCTCTCCGCCTTCCCTTTCTGAGTGTTGACCACAACTTTCCTCGTACTTCGAATTTGTTCCTTTAAGTCAAATTTAAACGCAATGTATCTAAGCTATGTTTAGAAGCCGTCGATTGTTATTTACGTCCAAGAGTAAACTGTATCGACAGCTGGGGCAACCGGGTCTCTAATATTGGGATCTTTCTAAAAATGAAACTTCTGAGCTTTGAGGAAATGCACTTGGGATGAAAATCTCGTCCAATTTGACGGCCCTCGAGCCCAAAGGCTTGAAGGAGGCTCGAAAGAGATCTCGGCCCCTGAGGATTTTCTTACGAGCCTCGAGAGGCACGTGTCCTGATTAATTTCGAAAACGTGCGTGACAGGCGTTTTCTCTCTCGGGTCCGTCGTCTTCTTCGACTGGCCGTTTTCCAAATTGGCCTTTTTAACGATTGGCGGGTGGGTTAATTTTCAAAAAGGCCTCTGGCTTATTGAAACCGATATCACTGGACTGTCGCCAATTGGATCCTTGTTTAAAGAACTTTGATATTATTAAGTTGTGGAAACAAAAGGGTTAAAGGGACATGATTTAGACACGTATTAAATCAAGTTATGATTATAAAAGCTATTAAGCGAATCGAAATAAAACACCGCTCAAACCGTTAACCCGCCCCTTTCACATTTTCTCCCTTTCTGTGGGTAAGCCCAAAACAGACCGTTAAGGTTATCAGATTTTAGGGGAAAAAACTCCTAGTAAATACCTGAGAGTCCTTCGACTATGTTATTACACCGCGTGACCAAGTATATAATAGCATGTTTTCACAAAGTACACAATTAATTACCTTTTTTTTTAAATAGTAGTACAAGTAGTTTTTAATCCTAGCAGCAATACATTTTTTCTTTTTTTAATGAATCTCGCCTCTATCTAACTAGTCTTATAATTAGAGAAGAAAGCAGTTTCCTTTGATCAACATTTAACGAGATGTCGCGTTTTCATTCTAATTCGCTTTATTCAACGGCGGTGTCTTGGATGTGCTAAATATTTCACAAAAAGAATTAACCGAACAACTAATTGAGATTAAACAAGCTTTTTTTCATGGGGTAGATCAAAGATCAGAAATTATTTCGTGGTTCAAAAAAACGTTTTTCGTCATAAAAAGCGGAGAAAAACGAGATAAAGAATGTAAAGAAAGTGCAGTTAATACACACGTACTTCTTAATACACAGAAAATACACATGTCTTCAGGTCAATCAAACTAAGGAGTATGTGGCATGATGACCTGTATGAACTGAATCGGTAAAAAAAAGTACTAATCAATCATGTTTAAAGACCTATAAGTCTTATCGAATAAAAAAAAATTATAACGGGACTGATAACGGTCGAATCAAACCTATCAAAAGGAACATATTATAAAACGATTGATAACGGTCGAATCAAATCGGAATAGGTTATAACACGATTGATAACGATCGAATCAAATCTATCCAAAGGAACAAGTTATAACACGATTGATAACGATCGAATCAAATCTATCCAAAAGAACAGGTTATAACACGATTGATAACGAACAAATCAAACCCTTCCAAAGGAACAGATTATAACACGATTGATAACGATCGAATCAAATCTATCGAAAGGAACAGGTTATAACACGATTGATAACGATCGAATCAAATCTATCGAAAGGAACAGGTTATAACACGATTGATAACGATCGAATCGGATCTATCCAAAGGAACAGGTTATAACACGATTGATAACGATCGAATCAAATCTATCCAAAGGAACAGGTTATAACACGATTGATAACCATCGAATCAACCCATCCAAAGGAGCATATTATAAAATGATTGATTTCTTCCCGATTAAACCAATACACATATTTGATAATATTTCAGCCGATCCCGCACAAAAATTTTGGTTTAGATTATTAGACGAAATTATTGTTAGGCATAATACATGGTCTAAATCTAGACATAAATAAAAACCGAGAGAAATGGCGTACTGAAGGGTAAGAAAATGGAAAGAACATACCTGTGTACGGTCTTGGCCGTAGCTGAGGGTGAGGACTGCGGAGGTGGCTTCAGGCGAGGAATCTATCCGTACGACCGTGCTCGGGTCGAGCCTGAGGGCCGGGCTGGCGTCCGCCGATGAGATGAAGTCTTCGGTCCGCATTTCCTCGACCCGGCGGAGTTCCCCGGATGCGAGACGGATGAGGGATCCCCGGGCGAAGCCGGCCGAGGGGTCTGCCCTCGACCTGCGAAGGGCACGCTTCTCCTTCGGCCGGGACTTCCTGACGAGCGGCGACTGCGGCGGCGAGGCGTAAGAAGGGTAGTCGAGAGGTCGGACCAGGGGGTACAGGTAAGGATACGGGTACGGGTAAGGATAAACCCTGTATGGGAAATTGGTCGTATCTTCGTCCTCTTTGAGCCTCGTCGGAGGCAGCGGGGGCGGCCTGTAACGGGGCGGCAAAGGTCGGAGGAATTCCGGACCCGGGGGGTAAATGGGGTGGTGCGGAAAGGAAATGGGACCTCTGCTTCCTTCCAGCACTCCTCCTCCACCTGACCTCATCATCGCATCCTACAACAAAATAACCACTCCTTAAGAAACTGTACAACATTCAAAATTTTACTCTATTCACTTTCCCTTCAATTTAAATATTAGGCAGAGGAAAAACAAACCGTCGACGGATGGATTAGTAAACCGCGGACGTAAAAGGTCGACATCGATCCCCCCAGCCCGCCTTCATAGACTGCACCACGTACGAAAGCGAATACTCCGCGGCCTGTTGCGGCTCTGCAGGAATGCAGCCAGCCTGACCTTCGATCCCACGAGAGCTAATGGTCGTGTACGTCTGCACGCGAACACCCGCCTCCCATTGCACGGTAGCTTCAATCGATTTTCTTCTTACGTTCTAACGACGGCATGTGAATATTAACAATCGTCAGGGAACGTCATATTGAGGCATGAGCATGCTCATAAGGCGAGGTTCAATCTTAGAATCCCTAAAGCGTTTTCAGGTTTCCCATTTTGATAAAAGATCCTTTGGATTGAAGGTTAAGTGTTATAATTGTTCAAGATCGAAAGTCAAAATTGCAAAACCAAACGGACCATGATGGCCAGACAGGAACAAACTAACAGATAATTTATCTATATCATTTCGAAGTGTAGATTTTTAAAATAAATTTCTGTCAAGCGACAATCCCAGGACAATTTGGAACAATTTGCAGACCTAATTCCTTGACTCGACGTTTTTTAACCGGTCCGACCCATTTTCCCCTATTTATCGAAACGTTTCAGTTTCTTTTATTTAAATAATTGTGCATTTTTCTTATTGAACCATGCGAGGCCCGATATCAAAAGTGTCAACCGATGATTTCTTTAAAGAGCTTGGGCTTTATTTAGGAAATGTTGACCCGAACGTTTTCCATAGACGGCCAAGTCCCTGATAGGCCTTCTCGGTAAACTTTTCCCGAATGGTCACGGCGTGGGGGGTCAGTCAGCAAGTGCCTACACAAGCAAACACGTGCTCAGCTGCTGTCAAGGCTCCTCTGATTCGGGCTAGGACGCACTTCGTCTGCTTAACTTTGCAAACTGCTTATCGGATACGTGCTGTCCCGGTTGACGTTCGATCCGGGAAGATTTTCCCGTCGAAAATTTGAATTTTGAAACTCGTCAAGTAGGATAAAACGCGTTTATGTCGAATGGCCGTTCCTGGAAAAACAGCAAGGGGGACATTTTCCAGCAGATGGTCGCGAATTGTTTTCCTTTTGCCCTCGTCGTCCGCCTGGTCTGGCCCAGGCTCCAAACAATTCCAAAACATTCTCAACTCAAGAGTTTCAAAAGGAAAATTAAATAAGTAATTGAAACATAGCGCGATCACGCGGAACCACAATACCTCCACACATGAGGACTCCAAAAATAATGAAATCTAAAGAGATTTTCCGATTCAGTACATTTCTAATAATCTAATAAACACAGAAGAAAGAGAAAAACATGAAATTTATTTAAAAAAATTGTAATCACACATATATAAAAAAATGACTTCTTGATACAAACACAAAAGTAAAAAATTACCAGGTTATTTCAAGGCTGTGTTATCTTGTGAAACATCAAAAAACCTATGGTACACACTTTTGATTGTGACAGAGAAATAAAATCGACGTTACGCAAAACAAAGTGTGAAGGTGGCGGGGTTGAAAATCTCTTGCCTCGCCCTGCTTATATCCCGGGACTTGAGAGCTGTGACGATGAATTGCTCTCGTATAGCTGTGATACAAAAAATACTTTCTATACAGAAAAAACACTTCCTCCTCCATTTTTTTCTGTGCTTAATTAGTACGTCATTAGGACTGCGATCGTATAAACAGGTAGTTTGGTCTTTTGAAATCATCTAGGTCAGGTGTATTAGATTTCGAGATCTTCTGTCATCGGCGTGTCTAATTGTACCTGCATAAATACCGACTCACCTACACATAATATTGACCCTACTAGCTAGTGATTAACTAACTTTAACCATCCCTAACTTAACATAAACTATCGTAATATCCACTGTGCAAAATGACCATCACAATCATAAACCAGTTGAATCAGGTGCTTAATTATCTCTAATCGTCCATACCAAACATTCGTGATATTAGCAGTTTAACCATTCCTAACCGTATATAAAGCAACCAACGTGAATATATAGCATAACCACCACTGACTATCCTTAACCATTTCTAACCGTATCGTCATATCTAGTGCACAACTTATCTAACCATTGATAGCTCCCAACTATCCCTCAAATCTACCCGAAATTTGGTGTTTAACTATCTCTAATTTATTTTATTCTATCTCGGCTCGTAGACCCCGCGGTCGTGGGTTCGATTCCCACCGTCGCACCTGGCCCTTTTTTTCGCGCTATCTATTCATAACCATGTTTAGACATCCCTAATCAAAACATTTGGGATATTTGGTTTTTAACAATTTATAATATTCCCTAACCCAAACAGTTGTGAAGTCTGAGGTTTAAATATCTTTCGTGATACATGTACGGTTTTGTAACCTAACCAATAACGATATTCGGTACTTAACCATCATCATCCATTCACAGCTGTATACATACATATCACCAAAATCTTTGTGGAATCTGGTGTGTGTGTGTGTGTGTGTGTGTGTGTGTGTGTGTGTGTGTGTGTGTGTGTGTGTTGTATGTGTAAGAGAGAGAGAGAGAGAGAGTCTATATCCATATTTAAACATATCTAACAAAAAACTTTCTTGACATTCGTTGTGGTCTGTAATCTGATGCTTATTAACTATAACTAAACATCCTTAACAAACGTCCAATCTGGTGCTTTACCATCTCGAGCTCTAACCAAAGTCAAATTTTGTGTTTAACTATCCTTAACCAAAGTCAGATCTGGTGCTTAACTTAACTAAATATCCTTAACCAACATCAAATCTGATGCTTAACCACCTCGAGCTCTAACCGAAATCCAATCTGGTGCTTAACTATAACTATATATTCTTAACAAACGTCCAATCTGGTGCTTTACCATCTCGAGCTCTAACCAAAGTCAAATTTTGTGTTTAACTATCCTTAACCAAAGTCAGATCTGGTGCTTAACTTAACTAAATATCATTAACCAACTTCAAATCTGATGCTTAACCACCTCGCGCTCTAACCGAAATCAAATCTAGGGATTAACCATCACTAACTAGCTTTTACCAAAGTCAAATCTGGTGCTGAATTATATGTAATATCCTTAATAAACGTCCAATCTGGAGTTATACCATCTCGAGCTCTAACAGAAATCAAGTCTAGGGCTTAGTCATCACTAGCCATTACCAACTATAACTGCACATTGTCAAATCTGGTGCTAAACTATCACTGACTAGTCTTAACCATCTCTATCTCTATCTAACCATCACCAGCCTAGCTCGATAGATCATGATATCTGATGCTTAACAATACAAAACCTTCGTCAAGGCGCTAGTACTTAATCATTACTAACCCCATTACCATCTCCAACCATCCCTGTTCCATACTTTTCAAGAAATCTTGCGAGTAGCCTTCTCTAACCATCACTAACTTTTCTAATCAACTATGACCATTACTTACCAGAAATCTTCGTGGATCCTGATGTATAACTATCTTTAATTGAAATGCAGAATGGAGAATACCCTGAATCCACGAAACGGACAAACTTGTGTTGTTATTCAGTTATACTCTGAAAAACGACCTAAAATGCACGTTTATAATTAGCTTTCTGTTATTTTCCGATGTCCAGTTGTGAACTAAAGGTTAAGATAAGAAATCGATTATCACATTCTGTACAGATTCGAGGCTTGGTGTTGTCGGGTTATGACATTGATGAAACATTTGAGAAACGAACGCAGATGTGTTGTGCATGTGAGTTTTGCACGGTTTGTCAAAAGAACCGGGTCCATTGAATAATCCCCCTCCCCCGTTTTGTATTAAATAAACCACCACTAATTGCCACTCCCACTTAATTTCCATTTACGTTCGACGAGAGTTACATAAGCGCAGCCCGGCAACAAAAGCTCATAGAAACAGCCCACGTTCAAGGATAAAGAAAAAGCTGCGCGGGGGGGGATGGAAAAGAATCTGCAATTTTCTCAATCCTGAGAGGATTTGAGCGTGTTTTTTCCACCGGGTCCGACTGCGGTAGGCGGATTTGACGTGGAAAACGACCCGGAGGATGGGAAAATCGTGCCGGATCCCCCACGTGGAATATTTCCGCTTTTCTGACATTGACATCTCCCTGGATTATCTTTTAACCGCCTGATACATTTTTACATTATATTTTTTCTAAACAATAATCCCTAAGGTAATCCCTTTTGAAATCTTTCCTCCCGATTTGACGCGAAAAGTTTTTAAAAAATTACCTGAACTAACATAGGTGCTGTGGCCCCTTCACCCAGCTCTCATAGTCCGCGAGGTGACCTGGAAAAAGAAAAGATTTTTGTTTTGTTTTTGTATTTTGGAAAAATTAGCCCCGGCTTATCTGTGGAAAGGGCACTTAACGAGCCGTGCACTTAAGTGATAACCCCTAAGAGCTTCTAGATCTTTATGGCAGCTGGTTAAAACGCAAAGCTGCCTCCCGGGTGAACGGGTTTCTCTTACAAAAAAGGCCTCTTCTAAATAGAAAAAACCCTCTAAATAATTCAATATTTAAAATGTAATTAAGGATTTATAAAAAAGACTCTTAATCAACCGAGATTTATTGGGCTTAATTATCGTAAATAATTAAAAAACGAGCAATTGTTGCAGCAAATTCCATTAGAATGATGATTTTAACATTGCACCATCTGTTCTACACGCACCCGCCATATTTATATACACTATAACCAGGTTTTATGAGTTTGGGGACGTTTTTCTGCCGATAGTCTGGTACTCAATCATCACTAACTCCGGATGACCATCTCTAACCATATCTGTCCCAAACTTTCGTGAAATCTTGCGAGTAGTCATCCCTAAAATCCCTAACTATCTCCATCTCTAACTATACATCGTCAAATCTGGTGCTAAACTATCACTTTACTAGTCTTTACCATATATCTGATGCTTGACAATACAAAACCTTCGTTAAGTCTGGTACTTAATCATTACAAATCCCCATAACCATGTCTATACATATCTGTCTCACACTTTCGTGAAATCATGCGAGTAGCCTTTCCTAACTATTACCAACTCTAACTACAAATCGACAAATCTGGGGATAAACTATCACACTTAATCATCTCTATCTAACCATTACTAGTCTAGCTCGAAATAACGTGATATCTGGTTGGTACCTATCACTATGGTTAGGGATGGTTAGGGCTAATCTTGCGAGTAGCCTTGCCTAACCATTGCCAACTCTAACTACAAATCGACAAATCTGCAGATAAACTATCACGCTTAACTATCTCTAACTCTATCTTTAAACATGAATATCCTAGTTCAAAATATCGTGATATCTGGTGGTTACCTAAAGGTAACTATCCGTCCCCTTCCCTAACTCTAACTGACATAGCATCTCGCCGATTACCGGCCAATGACCATCGAGAACCATACCTGCATCAAACTATATCGTGCTAGGCTAACTATTCCCAACTATTTCTAACCTTTGAAAACCTTAACCCAAATTATCGTACGACATCTCAGACCATTCCTGCCACAAACGTGAGTTAAATCTGGAGCTTAACCATCTCTGATTACTGTTCGTTATCGTCATTATCTTGCATTTACCCATCTTTAACCATACCTCAACTAAAGCAGTCATGAAAACTGGACAAACTAACCCAAATGAACGTGATATCTGATGACATCTCAGACCATTCCAGCCCCAAACGTAAGATAAATTTGGAGCTTAACCATCACAAAGTGCTATTCATCATCGTCAATGAGTGGCATTTAACCATCCTTAACCATACCTAAACCAAAACAGACACGAAAACTGGACAAATTAACCCAAATTATAGTAATACCTGATGCTGAAAAATCTCAGACCATTCCTGCCCATGACGTGAGTTAAATCTGGAGCTCAATGAGCACTGTTCATCATCGTCAATGTTGAGATTTAACCATCTTTAACCTGACACAAAATTTCGTGAAATTTGGTACTTAGCCATCACTAACTCTTCCAAACCATCTTTATCTGACCTTAGTCAAATCTGCCGTCTCTAACAACCACTATCCACTTAAGTCCCAAGCTTTCCTCAAATATGATGCTACACAATATCTAATTTAATTCAGATTACGCGTTTTCTGGTTTTGAACTATTGATTTTTCTCGTTTTGACTCTTCAGTTTAGATCAACTTACAATCGTTTACGTTTTTCTCGCCCACTTACTAAGAACTCACTCTCTACCTTTCCTTTCACTACCTCCAATCTACTCCACTGTCGTACTCTGTTGTTTTTTCACTCATTTTGTTTTTACTTTTGCGTTCTAATTTCTCAAAATTTCAACAGACGTACAGGCGTAATTTATAAAAGAGCCGAAAACCTACCGCCTCGTTCGGCCTGGAAACTCGTTCAGAATTGTAAAACAAACAAAAAATTGTTTATAACTGGGTGTTACATCTGGATTATAATCGTTGTAAGGTGAGCCCTCTGGTTTTGACGTCATGCTGACCGAAACGACAGCTGTCGTACCTGCGGTGCTGCGTGGGCGTCTCTTGCCCAAGCCCATCGAAGCGACTGGGGGACGCCCATTGTGGCAGACACCTCTCAAAAACCGATCGGAGATTGTAAATATTTAAACTGAACCCGGGGCAAAAGTCCTACACGGCCAAGTCCGCGGTTTTTGTCGCAATTCCCACAGATTTTAACCGTGGGACGGGCACCATGGGCGTTCTTCGCAGGCCGGTTGTTGGTACATTTCCTAAATGTCAACTGTTGCAGAAACCGACCTTCTCTCGCATAAGGACCGGCCTTTTATACAATATTATCGGTTTTAAGTAAACCCGGTATAGATAAATCTGACGAGTTTTAATCAATTAGCTCAAGCTGACTGCTAGCACCAGACCTAATCGACTAGAAAGTTCTATTACACTAAGTCATATTTATACAAAATACAGCTTTTTATGACAGACGTGGAAGAAGGCACTTATTACACCAACTTTTGTTGTGAAATTCTAGCTTTAAACTGTCGAAAAATACAGTAGACCAAGAAAACACTCGTGGGATGCACAATCCTGAAAATAAGCGATATCTCTTTCGTGAACCATCATCGCCTTTATGGGTTAACCGTGGCTAACTATCTCTAACCTTCCCTAACCTAGACTATATTCAAATTTGGTGCCTAATTATAATTATTATATCTCAAACTCTTGGAGAATATTAACGCATAACCAACGGGAACCATCCCTGCCCAAAATCTTCGTAAAGTATGGTGTTCAACTATCACTACCTAAACAACAACCATCATCGAATCTATTGTTTAACCTTGGCTAACGATATATAATTAACTACCTTCTCAACGTAAACTATCGTCAAACTTGGTGCCTAAATGGTAACTAGCTATCCTTAACCATCTCCAACTTAAACTGGCGTAAAATTTAGCGATTAACCATCTATAAACATCTCGAACCATCTCTGCCCCAAACCTTATCTCTAGCCTTCACTAACGTCAAATCTCGTGCCTAATTATAATTATTAAATTCTCCAAATATAACTGACATAAAATCTGACGAATAACAACCTATAACCATCAGGAACCATCCCTGCCACGAACCTTCGCGAAGTCTGGTGTTCAACCATCAAGAACCATCATCGAATCTATTGTTTAACCATGGTTAACTATCTTTTACCTTCTCTAACCTAAACAATCGTCAGACCTGGTACCTAAATGTAACTAGCTATCTTTACCCATCTATAACTGGCACCTTATCTCTAACCTTCCCCAACCAAGACTATATTCAAATCTGGTGCCTAATTATGATCATTATATTTCCAACTCTAACTGACATAAAATCTGGCGAAAAACAACCTATAACATCCGGAACCCTCCCTCACCCAAACATTCGTGAGCTCTCATGTGTAGACATCTCTAAGGCACCATCATGATTAACTATTCAAAAATATTGCTAATCTACCAAACAAAACTCTCTTGACATCTGGTGCTTAACCACCTCTAACCATAATTATGGTCAAATCATGTGACACCTACCTAACAATCTTTGTTGACATTTGGCATTTGACCGTCAACAATTATTTATAAAACTCCATGATATTTGGTGTCTAGGCATCTCTATATAACCTTGATGATGATGAATATAGATACAAGGAATTGTTATATTGATATCTGATGCTGAAACATCTCAGACCATTCCTGCCCCAAACGTAAGTTAAATTTGGAGCTTAACCATCACTAACTATTCATCATCGTCAACCTCACTACACCAACCCAAAGTATAGAGATATCTGATGTTTTATCATTCCTGCCAGTTCATATTCCAAACTATTGGGAAATCTGGCGTTTAACCACTTCTAATCCTTCACCCCATCCCTAAAAAATAGTGATATCTGCTGCTCAAACATCTTTAACAATCATTGACCATCCTAAACCATCTCTAATCCTAACTGTCGACAGATGTGGTGCTAAACTATTACTGACTGGACTTAACCATCTCTAACTTTATCTAACCTTCAATGCCCTAGTTCAAAATATCGTGATATCTAGTGGTAACTAACTATACTTAACCATACCTTACTTCAACTGACATAAAATCTCAGCGATTACCGGCCTATGACCATCGAGAACCATCCCTCCATCAAACTATCGTGAAACCTTGCATGTAGCCATTCTGAACAATCACTAAGTCTATCATCGTGCTTGGCTAACTATTCACAACTGTTTCTAATCTTTATAAACCCTAATCCAAATTGTCGTAATATCTGATGGTTCGACATCTCATATCATTCTTGCCCCAAACGTAAGATAAATTTGGAGCTTAACCATGACTAAATACTATTCATCATCGTCAATGACTGGCATTTAACCATCATTAACCATACCTAACCCAAAATATTCTGAAAACTGGTCAAACTAACCCAAATGATCGTGTTATCTGATGACATCACAGACCATTGCTGATCCAAAATTGCGAAAAATTGGTACTTAGCCATCACTAACTCTTCCAAACCATCTTTATCTGACCTTCGTCAAATCTGCAGTCTCTAACCACCACTATTCACTTTTGTCCCAAGCTTTTCTCAGATATAATGCTACACAATATCTAATCTAATTCAGATTTCGCGTTATCTGGTTTTAAACGATTGATTTTTCTCGTTTTGACTTTTCAGTTTAGATCAACTTACGATTGTTTACGAAGACGTCATCTTTAATACTAAGTGTCGTCAAATCTGGAACTTATCCAAATCTACCCTAACTTTCTGGTAAATCCGGTGTTTGACCATTTAAAAAAGTCATTCCCGAACCATATTTTTTAAAATTGCA